ACTGGAGTTCAGACGTGTGCTCTTCCGATCTCATTTTCCTTTGACTTCATCCGATTCATCTTACTGACCGATGGCACATCTCCAGTGATGATATGAGTGGCTGAAACAATGAAACAAAGAAATTAATGAATTTTCATCTTGAATTCTAACTCATTGCAGAGAATTTATCATATAGATATCATTTTGATGTGGAAAATTTGCCTGATATAGTTATACAGCAGGATGGAAATTCCACGAACGAAATGCAACTGTGTAATTTCTTAACAGAATTGGATCTATCTATCATTTCAGACACTTTTTCACCATTAATCGAAGAAGCTTATCAAATTGAAAATTTTTGGAAGTCTTATGATAACATACAACTTAATAAAAGAACATGTAAAAAACTAGGCATATGCATCATTGACGCTGTGTACAATGTTAAAAAGCTTCCATGTCTAGATAGCTATGATGATTTCTTCACATTGGATAATTATATGTCTTTTCATAAATTTCTTCAAAACCTTAGAGTTATCAAAAGTTTCATCGAAGATATCTCTCAAATAAGAAGATTAAAATCTTTTATTCAAGAAATTGATTCTGGTGTTTCATTGGAGAAATTAAAAGATGAATATGTCAAATTACTAAAAGAATTTCATGAATCCACATTATCTCTTGGATTTAATATTCAAGTAGATAATAACATCGACGATATAAACAAAGATATTGAAGAAACAAAGAAGGTACCTTTTTCATCTTGTGTTATAAAATTTCATCATTAACAATATAATCAAACCAGGATTTTTTTTCTAGTTTATTCAAGCATTTGAATGCAATTTTGAAGGTAATTCTATGTTTCACTTTATCGACAAGATAAGTGCCGATATTCAAAATATTGCCAATCATAAACTGGTTGAAAATGAAATCATTCAAGAGTCATACAACAGTGAAATAGTCAAATACATAAAATTTAGTCCATCTGAAGTGAAATCATTATCTGTTCAAATGGCACTTTTAAAAAGTTTAAAAGGTTTAGTCAATATATCCAAATTTTATGGAATAAAACATGAAAACCAAATGGAAATAACCATCGCTGTTGAATGGTCACAATATGGCGATTTAATGGCGTATTACAAGGAATACAAACTAAATACTCCGCTTAAGCTAAAATTCGCATTAGAAATATGTAATGGATTAGTGTTTCTAAATTCTGTGAATTTTTTGCATCGTGCTATCAAATCTGAGAATATTCTGATTATAAATGATTGTAAAGCCAAAATTACAAATTTTTGTCATAGTCGATTAGTTACAGATGAATCGAGAAAACTTGATACTATGGGTATTGGATACATAGTACCAGAAATATTTCATCGAAACACACGAACACATACTCAACAATCATCCACATATCTACACGAAGGATATGAATATGGTTTCAAGAGCGAAGTTTATAGGTAGGTTTATAAGTAAACATTTAGTCCGATTTTATAGGTAAGTTAGTAGTGGCAGAAAGTGTCGCGGTGACATGATCACCGACAGTTTCCGACCCATTTGATAATCCGAAATTAAATAACGGTAACATTTACATTAAATTACAGCACTTGTCAAATTACTGTGACCAGCAAATTCCACATATCACCCGGAAATCAGGAATCTAGAAAAAAATGCCAATCTATGATTGGCTAAAAAATTAGCCAATCATAGATTGGCATTTTTTTCTAGATTCCTGATTTCCGGTGGAATTTGCTGGTCACAGTAATTTGAAAAGCGCTGTAAATTAAAATTAATATATTTATCATATATTTATATGATTAATAAATTAATTTATTGTTATTTTATCAAATGGGTCGGAAAAGGTCGTGATTACGTCACCGGACATTTTCCTGCCATCCTAAACCTACCTTTACTTTATTGGTATCAATATCCCTATATCATTGATTAAAAGAGCTTCACAAATAATCAATTCCATAACCAATGATGTAATGAGCATTGTTAGCAATAAGTTTATTTCTTAAGGGTAGGGTGTACAAATTTCTAATTTCATATAAAATAGATTGTAGATCAACTTTGTGTAACCAATTTT